CTTTGGTCGGTATCCGGCAGGCACCCGGCAGGTACCCAGCAGATTCTCTGACGATGTCTTGTATTGACCTATACGTAATGCAGAATTCACGTATTTGTTGTGATCATTTGATCTGTGAGGTCACACATTTTACCCGGGTTTACAAAGTACACACCTTTATTCTGTTCATCTGGTCTGTGACGTAAGAAATGTGTCCCGGTGGAATGCCGGCAACCGGAGGGGTACCTCCCGGTGTTCTCACGATGAGGTCACGGCGTCTTGTTGTTAGCGGGGCCCGGGTAGAATTTAACTCAGAATTAAATTCTTATCGGGGCCCCGACGGGCCAAAAAATATCCCGGTAGCCGCAGGGTGCCCCGCGGGGCCACGTCGGGGTCCCGCCCGAAAGTGATAAAAAAAACAGCCCGGGAACTACCCGCCAGGGCCCCTTTTCCCAATTGGGACCTTAGCTTTACTAGTAATCATGAAAATTAGGTTAATTATACAAATTATTAGGTCATTATTTGCATAATTCTTATCTGTTGATGTTGCACCTGCCGTACATTACATACATTTCAAAATTATGAAAAATTACATTTCGAATATTACCAAAATTCGTGACCCTAGCATGTCCAGATCGCGAGATATCAAAACCTAACGTTGTGCTGCAGTACCAACAAAAGCCGCCAGAGGGCCAAAATCTAATCATTCTCACCAAGACCTACCCAAATATACAAGTTTCATGACAATGCATATTAAGCTTTTTGAGTTATGCTGTGCACAACTTCACAGCCAAACAGACAGACAAACGGGCAGACGGACAAACGCTACTGAAAACATAAGCTTCTTGGCGAAGGTAAATATGTACAATTGTACCAAAAGCATTCACTTATTCCACAATTGTCTTAAAGAAAATGATATTGTTGCCCACCAGCCCAGAACACTTCACGACCTTCACCCCAGATGTGTGTCCTTCACCTGTTCAGGACCGTGACGGGGTGACGAAAGATACGTTCAGGTCAAGTTGGCATACGTAGTTGTTATCTATCCTGACAGACAGCCTTTCACCTGGTCATGTTCTAGGGCATCTTTCCTTCAATTTCGCAGCTCCTCTGATATCAACGCCCCCAATGCTGGTCTGGCAAGTGTGTGGATACAACATGGCGAATGTTGTGAAGGCCAGGTGTGCAGGTGTGTCCCGGTTACTATCCTGGCGATCCACGACGTTTCACCTGGACGCAGTAAGCCAGAAGAATGACAGGTGTGTAGTTCGTGGCGTCACGCCTTTTGCGTTGTTGGCGTTTTAACTCTAAGAGTGGATCATACATAGCACAAGTAGCTTGCTGGATTGATATAGCAAAGTGTAACAAAACCGGCTAGACCTGTCTTCGCGATTTTTTGTAGACATTCAAAGCCCCAGGTCACTAGTTAAGGTCACACCAGGTCACGTTTGGTTTAAGTGCCTTCTTGTCATTTTTTGCTAACACAGTGACAGCGCACTATCGTACCGACGTATGCTATATCAGTGTGTTGCTATACCATGAGGAAACTTTGTATTAAGTACATACTTATCCAAGAAGGTTCATCAGAGATCCCACAGTGACTAAAATAAAGCCTCTCACCTCCCGACCCAAGGTAATATGAGATCTTTGGCATTCAGAAAGCTTACGGATGAGGTGATGTAAACATAAACATGCCCAGGTACAACACGGTTACGTATTGGAAACAGTTGTAACGCGAATGACTGCGCCGCAGTCCCGGCTATACTTTACGAAACAATTCCTATACTTGGTTGTGAAAGTTAAGCTTTGTTTCAACACAACAGAGACACTCATCATGAATTTTCGTTCATCTTGTCGACCTCCGTCAGATGACTAATTCAATGCGCTAATTCACTGCACTGATCCGCTCAGTGAATCAGTGATCTGACGAAGGTCGATGAGATTGACTGAGAATCATGGTGAGTGTTTCTATTGTATTGGAGCAAAGCTTAAATTTAAGAACTGTAGTTCCTATACTTCATGTCACCCGATTGTGCACACTTAACTCAAAGCAGATATCGGGACGGAATACGTTAGGGTGGTCACACAACATCGAATTGTCTTCCAGTCCCTGCCAACATCTGCTTGGTCCATGAAGACCAACCCCATCCGGGCGCTGTCTGGACTTATTGTACACATTAAGAGAAATTTTGACATTTGGACATACAATACAAATAAAAATACAATGCCAAGACCTCAGATACAGTTCAACCTGGACAAGCGGCCACCTTCACAAGCCTTTTCCCGGTCCGAATTCTCTTGCTATAGGCGCAAGCACTTAGTGAACTGCACAAGAAGGCCACCTGTCCGAGACGACCACTTTACCTCAGTCCCAGGGTGGCATTACTGAGTAGGTTTGATTTCGTGTATCCAAACGGTACCGTTCCCTCCACAGGCCGACGTCCGGGCCCATCAGCAGGAGACTGAAGGACGAGGCGGACACGGTGATCATCGGGGGTGGGGTGGTCGGCACGGGGCTGGCCTACTGTCTGGCTAAGGCCGGACAGAAGGACGTGGTGCTGCTGGAGAAGACAGAGCTGACCGCTGGGTCAACATGGCATGCGGTAACATTTTTGAAAGATGATTGTTGCAAATCAGTGTTTGTGATATCGATGATAAGTGCAAAAGTGCCAGTATCATTTAAGACAAGTTCGGAAGCTGAAACGTTGGGCGCAAAAGCTTTCATCCATACGTGAGGAAACCAATATTTTGCAAAGTACAAAACAGCACCAAACCTTTGAACCCGATATGAACAGTTTTTTCACCAGAACTCACGGACGCTATATCTGATTCATGGCATGTGATAAACCGGTAATATGTTACGATTCTAACTTATGTTCAACTCACAACTCAAATGTTTAAAAATGTTCAAGAATCTGTTATCTAAGCTGACCAGAAGTAGGTGCCGTGATGACTATAAAGATAGGATATGATCTATTCCAGGCTGGCCTCACCACGTACTACAACCCAGGCATCAACATGAAAAAAGTCCATTGGGACAGCTTTAATGTTTTCAAAGAGGTGGAGCGAGAAACGGGCAAGGTAAGCACTGGCTGTGCAGTTCATTATCAGCATTGACAACGACAGTCACATATAGGCGATGCTATCTTGTTGTAGCGCCATTCAGTTAGACAGCGCAGACTGTGATTCTAAGGAAGAAATCTCGCCAGCCCTGGTGATCTGCAGCTTTGCGACATGACTCATGAAAAGACATATCAAATGTTAACCGTTAGCACGTGGCATCGCTTGGGCTTCATCAAACATGTTATTTTTTTACCATAAGACGTTACGACATGGTGCCATGGTGACCTGACAACAACTAGAACATTTAGAACACTTTCCATTTCGATGAAGGCGCAGACCACCATGTTTATTGTGCGCATTTCAATAGATCGGTGTTCAATTGTACACAACATGTTTGTGTTTTATAGGCAGTTCCGTCAGCATCCTTCTAGCATTCTCTTCTTTTGGGGGTTACTCGGTACCGGTAGGATCAGAGGATCTCTAGATGTCCGAAAACGCTTGAACTACAGTTTACTGAAATGCAAATAGCTGCCCTGTGTTGATGTCCCAGTGACGTTACGTGAAAACTATTGTGGCTTCTGACAGGACGTGGGCTTCCATGGCCCTGGAACCATCCGGCTGGCCTCCACTCCTGAGCGGGTGGACGAGTTCCGGTACCAGATGCAGAGGCAGGGCTGGAACAAGGCTCCACAGTGGATGCTGACACCGGAGGAAGTACACCAGATGCACCCTCTTCTCAACATGGATAAGGTACGGTCAAATTATTTTCACAAGAACGGTCAGATCTGATCTGTTCTGTTCTGTTCTGTTCTGTTCAGTCAAGTCATCTTCTATTTATACAACAGTTAGACTGAATTCGAAGCACAGCCGCGTGCCTGCGAAGCTGGTGTGTTACGCCGAACATCAGTTATACAGTTATAACCGACTCAGATTCAAATTCAGAAGGTAAGATACACCTCACACATGAGATTCACAGGGCCCTTGTTACTAGAGTTATTGGATATATTGGATAGAAACATTCAACATAGGCAGTCAGGGATTTGTCGTGGGTTCCCCAAGGAAACATCCTGGGACCACTATTCTTGCCTTTCTTTAAGTATAGATGGCCAACCAGACCTGGATAAGTCGAATGTGACGCTATTTTTGTCTGTCCTAGGTACTGATGGGCCTACACAATCCCGGGGACGGACACATCGACCCCTACTCGCTCACCCAGGCTTATGCCATCGGTGCCCGGATGTACGGGGCAGACATTTACCAACAGGCTGGGGTGACTGGGATGAGCATGCGCAGTGATGGCAGCTGGAACGTGGACACGCAACACGGCACCATCCACACACAGAGGGTGGTCAATGCTGCTGGTACGAGTGCGAAACTGATACATGTATTTAGTTTTAATTCTATTTCTTCCCCCATAGCAACTGATACTGCTCATGGTGTATATTGTTTGAATTATCTTGATTTGAAAGCCACAGACATAGGAAACGCTGAAAAATCTCACAATAATAGAAGCACGACATTGCCAAAAATGCTAGTTATCACGAGCTCAATACGATATCCTTCATACCACAGACATATCGAATTCTGCTAAGTCAAGACAAGATACAAGCACTGCATTATTGAAAATGTTAGTTCAAATCTACAAGCTTAAAACGTACTCATCATCATCATCATCATTCATCCTCCGTAGAGGTGGAGCATACAAAGTTAGCTCGCCACAACTGTCTGTCATACATCACTGAGAAACGTACTATATCCTTCTTACCTTTCAGGTTTCTGGGCTCATGAGATCGGTCGGCTGTGCGGCCTGGAGCTGCCTCTCGTCACCGTGCAGCACATGTACGTCGTGACGGGACCCATCCCCGAGGTCCAGGCCAGGGAGACGGAACTGCCCGTCATCCGGGACCTGGAGGGGTCCTACTACGCGCGACAGGAGCGGGACGGACTCATCATCGGTCCGTACGAGAGGGCAGAGCTGATGAAGATGCAGAACCACTGGGTGAGCGACGGGGTTCCTCCAGGTGCGTCTATGGTTGGAATCCGGAGATCACCCTTTCCTCACGAAGGACCTGTACTTTGTGTAATTCTTTTAATAACTACTACTGTCTAGTAAATACTAGTCAAAAATCTTTATAAACCAAACTTGTTAAAAGCTAGAAACACGTGACATGTAAATTGATCAGGCTTCCGCGAAAAACAAACCGTCATTGCTCTAATTAAGATAAGTACATTGTAACAGTTATGTGTTAGGCTTGGAAGACTATATAAAGTTGTAAAACTAGACCATCAAATGATAACATCCCTGTCTATAATTCATTTGAGCTCGTCGTCAAAGAGACTCTTTAGACTCCTAGATCTAGATCCCGACCTCCCCTCCCTTCAACAGGTTTTGGAAAGGAGTTTTTCGACTCGGACCTGGACAGGATCTCGGAGTACCTGGAGGCGGCCATGGAGATGATTCCCGCGGTGCGAGACGCGGACATCACCCGGGACGTGTGCGGGCCCATCACCTGCACCCCGGACCACCTGCCGCTGGTCGGGCCGTTCATGGCACCGGGGCTGCGCAACTACTGGCTGGCTGCGGGCGTCTTGTATGTTTTTGTTTGTTTGTTTGTTTGCTTGTTTTCCGTCTTTGGTTGATATCGGTTATCGTTGAATACACACCATCATCAATCAAATGCTATGACCTAAGAAATAAAATGTGTTTCTACTTTCCCGGCCAACCCAAGCAAAAACTCACCGACCGTAGTATTAGTTTTGAGGAGTCGAACATGGACAAGGCCATAAAAATTTCGATTTAGCATCTGAACTTCAAACTCTCCGCACTTTCAGAGGCAAATCTTTATTGAATAAACGGGGGTTAATGTCAGTTGTACATTGTTAGCTAGATCACAGTCTAAAAAAGAAATCTTTAAAAAATCTCTATCTACCGACCCTATTTTTTCGGGACTAAAATAAAAAAAACGTTTTTCTTATTCGTATTTGTCTTCACAGCGACGGATTAATACACAGTGGAGGTTTAGGAAAATACCTCACTCACTGGATCATGAACGGGGAACCGCCATACGACCTCATAGAAACGGATCCTAATAGGTAAGATTAACAAATATATAGATCCATTTTCTTATTTCGAACCTTTCCCATGTATGTTTGCTTTGGATGTGTCTGGCAGACGGTTGATACACACTTGAACGAAGCTATGATGCTTGGCCAATGTTGTAGTTGTATAGGTGCCAGTGTCTTTCTTGATCCTATGATGCAATGTCTTGCAGGTTTAGTGAGTCGTGGTGCAACAGGAACTTCGTTGCGACGAGATGTAGAGAATCATTTGGGTTCAACAACATCATCATCTGGCCGAAGGAAGAACGTCCCGCCGGGCGACCGACGACACGTGTGAGCGGCATCTACCAGGCTCTCCTGGACAAGCGCGCAGAAATGGGCTTCCACTCGGGTAACATGTACAGCTGATCACGATGAAAATCAGTATTTAAGTATTTAGATGTGGCTTCTTTGTCATTTTGTTGTATGATGTATGGCATGGTTTAGTTCTGTAAACTAGCCTTACAGATATTTGAACTCTACTGTCAACATCTGTATGTAACAAAATGGTTCTGTGCCTAGCCTGTGCTTGTACAATTACAGGTTGGGAGCAGCCCAACTGGTTTGCTAAAGAAGGTGACACCCCCGGCTACCGTCCCAGCTTCAGACGCACCAACTGGTTCTATCCGGTCGGGAGGGAGTGCGAACTGGTTCTATCCAAGGCTGGGGTCATTGACCTGACACCGTTCGGAAAGTTTGAAGTCGGCGGTCCGGATGCGGCCAGGTTGCTGGACTACTTGTTCGCGAACAATTTACCCCAGGTGAAGTGAGAATTCCGATATAGATTCATGCATACAGACGTACTTATGTAGACCCTCTTACTTTGTAAATGTGAAAGTAGACCCTTGAGATACGTTCAAGTGGTCTATAACTGAATCAGTAACAGTAATCTTCTGGTTCTGTTGAAAATATTTAGTCTAATGAGAAAGGGTAGGCACATCCTACCTACCTTGTCCCTTGACCTCCTGGTGGTTGGGCGTTGGGGGGGGGGGGGGACAAGGCAGACGAGAGGATGGACAACTGTCTCCAGACTTCTCTGTCTCTTGTAGCGGTCAGCCTTTCGGACGGGTTCAGCAACGTCCACTCTGTTATGTTGTCCTGCCAGGACTTTCTCTGTCGTCACCGACGGCGTCCTCCTTCCAGTGTGCCCTGCAGGATTGTATTTGCCTAGTTGTCATGTCGTGTAACGTGGCCGTACCACTGCAGCTTGCGTCTCTTGACGGTTGCTAATATAGTGGTTCCGACAATCATCTACACAGCTTCCCGCACATCCTCGTCTGTCTTGCAAACGCATGAACCATCAGGCGAACCATACCACAAAGATGACTACTTGGGTGTAAAGACATCGAGGAGACATTATGTGCTGCCTAGCTTCATGAAAGAACTTTGAGCAAATCTTTAAGTGCTGTCTTTTCTTTACTTTAAATCGTACTCGAGTACTCGAACTGTGTTTGCAGCAGGTTGGGAGAACGCGTGTCAGCCACATGTTGACCCCCTGTGGGGGCGTCTATGCGGAGATGACGGTAACCAGACTTGGAGAGGACCAATTCTTCCTCGTCACGGGTTCAGGCTCCGAGCTGCATGATCTCAGGTAAATCTTCAGGGGCTATAAGAACCCATTTGGTACATACCAAATTCCATCCTGTACACCTACTTGGAATATTGCTGTAATAATAGTAATGCTAATAATTAATAATAACAAGGTGGCAATCATACAAAAAGAATGGCCCAGTTTTCACTGATATACTCTAACACGCCAGTTCTTACCATGGTGAAAATCCTCAAACCTGGCAGGCTGCAAAATCTTTAAAGTTTGCGTGCGGAATGTATAATCACTTTGAATTCTTTACGTGAAGGAATAATATGAAGACAGCCGAGTTCTTTCCCACAGATGGATAGAGGACCATGCATGGAAGTGCGGCTACGACGTCGTCATTACCAACGTCACTGACGACATGGGCGTGCTCGGTATCGCAGGTCCTCGGTCCAGGAGGGTCCTGGCAAAACTGACCTCACATGACCTGAGCAAGGAGGGGTTCAAGTTCCTCAGCTGTCAACAGCTCAGTCTGGGTGGGGTTCACGTCAGAGCCGTTAGGATATCGTACACAGGTGAAACAAATAAATATGATATACCTGCCAGGAATTAGATAGATAAATTATCAGATTTGCCGGCAGTTTCGTCGCATTTCCTCTACGCACCCGCTGAATATAACGTTCTACACTATATCACAGGGAAATAATGATTACAGCATAACGGTCTAGATCCCTTGCCTGGAACGTTTCAGACCAAAGTTGTGTTGAAAAACCTTTTCATGTATTTCTGGGAAATTTCTCTGTGGGTGGAAACAATAATAAAGCTAACCTACAACTACTGTTTAAAAACGATCATCTTCTGTTGCAAGGTGAGCTGGGCTGGGAGTTGTACCATGCCAGAGAGGACACAGCCCGGCTGTATGAGGTCCTGATGTCGGCAGGACAGGAGTTTGGGCTGGGTGACTTCGGCACCTACGCCATGGGCTCCCTCAGGCTGGAGAAGGGCTTCAGGGGCTGGGGGGCTGAGGTAAGGAACAACTGAAACGTGTGTCGACAACTCACACCGTCTTTGTTTTTTTTTTGTGTGTGTGTACGTGTTTTTTTTTTAAATAATACGATGTTTTTTTTCTCTCGGTTGACCGTCACAATTGCTTATTGGGCATGTCTTCGGTCATTTCAGATGACAGTGGATAACAATCCTCTAGAAGCAGGTCTTGGTTCCTTCATCAAAATAAACAAGGTAAGTATCAAAGCAAAACAGTTGTTGAGTTGTTGTTGTAGTACCTTGTACGTATACAGCCATGTTACGATGTACTGTGGTGCGTTTTTGTACCGTGTCCAGCCTACAGACTTCATCGGTAAGGCGGCCTTGCAGCAGCTGCAGCAGGAGGGTCTGACCCGGAAGCTGGTGTGTCTGACTGTGGAGGTGGAGGAGGACGGTCCTGATGCTGAGGGGAACGAGACCATCTGGCACCAGGGGGAGGTCAGTATCCCCGTCATCACCAGCCTTTTTCTTCACTTCATTCAAAACTTGCATTCCGTTTGAGTCATCTGTCATCTTCATCGGGGACTGGTCTCTTATTTAAGTCATCCATCTGCTGTTTACCAGGTGGTTGGGTTCACGACCTCCGGAGCGTACGGTTACCGGGTACAGGAGTCCCTAGCCTACGCCTACGTCCCGCCACATCTCGCCCAACCGGGAACTGTGGTGCAGGTAGAGTTGCTAGGGAGCCGCCGCCCAGCAACGGTGCAGCAGGAGCCGCTAGATCTATTTGCATATGGTCAGTGGTCTCCAGACAGAAGCTGATAGGGGACAGTAAAGTAAAAGATTCCTGGATCCGGACACGACCAGTTACGACCTCAATTTAATCAGGCCCATCTCATCACCAAGAGATTAGAAGAAGTCAACCCTATGTATTAGAGTAGTTGTAGAACCCACGTTCTATATTGGTATTTTAGCCCCGGTCACACTGGGCGAACTTTGCCGGAGCGTTCCTTGAACGGTAGGGACGGGGGCCGAATTTCGACAACGCTCGTCACCGCGCCCAAAATGTGGGGGGGAAATGAAAACACGGGCGTTGGCTTAGCGGTGCACCGCTGAAGCCGGCGTTGCTTTAGCGTTGGTTTAGCGGTGGCGAGCGTTAGTTTAGCGATGACGCGAGCATTGGTATAGCGGCGTTCTGCGCATACGGTTTAAGGCCCGGTCACACTGGGCGAACTTTGCTGGAGCGTTCCTTGAACGGTAGGGACGGGGTCCGAATTTCGACAACGCTCGTCACCGCTCCGACACCTCTATACCAACGCCAAACCAAAGTTCATTGCCGACATGGATCGCTGCTTCAACGCCCGACACCGTTCCAGCAAGCTCGTAAAACGCTTGCAACCGCTCCAGCAAAGTTTGTGCAACGTTTAATCGCCGCCCGGGCAACGTTAACGCTGGCGAAGCAGCGGTGGTCCAGCGTTCAAGATTTCTGCGTTGGCCTAGCGGACCCAAGCGTCCACGAACTTGCGTCTAGCGATGCCAAACTTTGACTGGGCGTTGGTGGAGCGGGTGTGAACTTTGCCGGGGCGGAAAATTGCCCCCTCCTCACCGCTCGCAATATTTTGTGCAGCCCAAAACTTTCGGAGCGGTAGGAGGGCCCCTCCAGAAACATCAGCGGTGGCCGGGCGTACACGGCGTTGCTTTAACGGGGGCCAACTTCCGTTTAACGGTGGTGAGCGGTTTCGAGCGGTGATGAATTTTATTCACCGTTCAAGGAACGCTCCAGCAAAGTTCGCCCAGTGTGACCGGGGCTTAAAACAGAAGTTGGCCCCCGTTAAAGCAACGCCGTGTACACCCGGCCACCGCTGATGTTTCTGGAGGGGCCCTCCTACCGCTCCGAAAGTTTTGAGCTGCACAAAATATTGCGAGCGGTGAGGAGGGCTAGGGGGCAATTTTCCGCCCCGGTAAAGTTCACCCCCCGCTCCACCAACGCCCAGTCAAAGTTTGGCATCGCTAGACGCAAGTTCGTGGACGCTTGGGTCCGCTAGGCCAACGCAGAAATCTTGAACGCTGGACCACCGCTTCTTCGCCAGCGTTGCCCGGGCGGCGATTAAACGTTGCACAAACTTTGCTGGAGCGGTTGCAAGCGTTTTACGGACACGGGGTTGCTGGAACGGTGTCGGGCGTTGAAGCAGCGATCCATGTCGGCAATGAACTTTGGTTTGGCGTTGGTATAGAGGTGTCGGAGCGGTGACGAGCGTTGTCGAAATTCGGACCCCGTCCCTACCGTTCAAGGAACGCTCCGGCAAAGTTCGCCCAGTGTGACCGGGCCTTTAAGTTCTGTGAATGTATAGACATTTACTACTACATGCATTTTTATGGGTTCACCACACCACGAAGTGGTGGTGAACCCATATTGCTTTTTCTGATGTTTCTCCTCCTTCTCCTCCTCCTCCTGCCACTTCTTTAAATTGATTCAACTCCTTCATTTTTGGGCGAAATTACCTGTAATTTCGTATAGAGGTAGAGTGGGTAAATACCCTTAGGCGTTTTTTAAATTTTTTTGATACAAGCTTTTACAATCGTTTTATTTGCTTCTTAGTGGTCCCCATAGGAAAGTACTGTGGGGGCGTACGCGCGTGACGTAATAAGAAAGGAATTCGGGGGAAGGCCCAAATATGGGCATACAAGCAGGTGTGGTCATGTTTGCAGATGTGGCTGTTGATTGGCTGTTGGCTAATTAATTTATTTACTACCATTTTCACGTACCAGCGCAGCTGGTCCACGCGGTCTCGGCCGTGGGCCATGATACTCTGATATTGGATACCGATTCGTGTGATTCCTATAAACATTTCACCTAACTACGAACTAGTTGGAAGAATTATAGCTGCATGGATGCCTGTATATGATTTTAACAAACACTGAAAATCTGACGCAAAAACTGGGAGATATTTTGCTCTTCTCTGTTGGAACAACGCAAGCGGGAGGTCAATGACCTGCGCCCCGCGAGTACTGTAAACAACGGTACGTAATGTGTATCGTCGGCGCACGCGCACGCGCGCGCGCCACGGTAGATCAACAATTTTCCACAATCTTCACCGACTAGTATTATATATTCTGTTATCGATTTCTGAAGAATCACCAAAATTGTAGAGTGTACAGGCGTCCATTTGTTGTTGTTGCTGAGAACATCACAAGACGGCTTCCTGGCAAATTTTCCTAAAGCGAGCGTTGAGGGCTTGCATGCCCGACAGTTTTCAAAGATTGGACAGGGAGCCGGCGGCTTCTGCTAGCCGGATTGATAGTTACGTTACATCAAGGTACCGGTGGTTCAAAAGCGAACCTGATAAAGAAGGAAATCTCCTAGAAAGTCCCTTACTAGTACTTGAAGCGATCGTTACCGCCATGTTGTTCACTTTATATGACATACAATGCAGAGAGTAATGGAAACGTGTCCAGATAGCTCGGTTGGTAACGCGCAGGGCTGCAAGTCCAGACATTACGAGTTCGAACCCCGGTACACTGGATATTTTTAATTACCCTTTTTACAATTTTTAACAATTTTAACATTTTTAACAATTTCAACAATTTTAACCATTTTAACCATTTTACATTTTAACAATTTCAACATTTAATTTTAACATTTTCGTTTTAATATCCATTGCTTTGCTTTTAACATTCCAAAACTGATTGTTCTTACTCAAGAATTTCAATAACTTCGAATGTTAGTCTTTTGTATTTTTCTAACATACAAACCAAAATCACTTTGATGTTGTCACAAAAGTAACAATCTGTGCGCGCATCGGTTTTCGTTCATTTAAAAACTACAAGTACAAAACATCTGGAAACTAAGCAAACATACTCAGTAAATTGATTGCTGTAATTCCCGATTTTTTTCACTGTACCGCAACGCAAGCGGGGGGTCAATGTTCACGGTTTTCACTGTCACCTCTGTATTGTGAACTTATCATTACAGTTAGGAAATAATTCCTGGACTTTCTTTTCCTGCAACTGTCACCACCGTGAATATATAGTTCCGTGAACATGTCCATTTTTCTCAGGCCGTGAAAATTTTGCTTCC